GAATACTTAATTAGAAGTTTTTAAAATGGTGTTTACTGGAATTTGATTTCTAGATATCGAAAATTATTTGAATATTTTATCAGTGAATATACAGTGCATTGGAATAATATTTCAGCTTATAAAAAAATATCCAAACCATTTATGACCGTAAATCTCATTAACTGGGATTACCTGAAAAATTCATTTTGGATAACAAAGATAAAATAAACTGGGTTACAATTTTCAGAATATCAAACTTTAAGTATTAATTTTATTTTACAAAATTTTAGAAAATTAAATATGAAATTAGCTTCCAGATATCACTAATTAACATAAAATACCACTGATGAACTGAAGATGTAGTTGATTGGAATGAAAAAATTGAACATCGAGATTTGAGCAAGGCCTTAATAAACATGAAGACAAAAGAGGACTGGTGTAATCCAAATTTATATAAACTTATATAATACAAATTCAAATATTGGAAACTTTCATTAAAAGATATTCTGAGAGAATTTATATTGTATTATTATGTCACATACATGCATAATTTAAAAATGTTTACTATTATATGTGTATAATATATAGAAATGATTCATTAATATATTTTGGAAAAATGGAAGATAATGAAAAACATTTTGATGCTGTAGAATTAAAAAATGCATATAATTTTTTAAATACACAAATATAATTTCACTTGAAGAAATAGAAAATTTAATAAATTTAGAAAAAGTAGATTGCAGTCTAAGTAAAATAACTTCACTTAAAAGAATAGAAAATTTAATTTAGAACAATATCAGATTGTTTTGAAAATAATATAACTTCACTTACAGGAATAGAAAACTTAATCCCCCCCCAGTGAAGGACATTTGCCTATAATAGCATTGGCCACTCCAGAGTCCTAAAGTGGTGGCCATTTTATTGTGGGGGTACCTAATAGGCGGCCACCATTACCTTAAAATGCTATGTAAAAAAATATTTTGAAATTATACTGTTTTTTTATAAATATTTTAATCATTTTTTCATATTTTTTATTATTTTCATACAGAAAATACATAAATTTTAGTATTGTAAATTATTGAGTCTTGAGGGTGTCTTAAAATGGTTATAAGTAAGTAGCATATGTAGTCCACTTTGAGAAATAGACATTTTTTAAAATCAACACCTGTTTATTAAAAAAAAAAACGTGTCCCAGAGTAGACTGCATATGCAGCTCATTCTTAAACTATTGATATTTATCATCAGATGGCAACATAATCAACTTATTAAAAATACAAATTTTAATTATTAAATAAGGATTACTTGATAAATTTTAAAAACACATTTTTTGCTTAATCCTTCCATTATATTTTCATGCTGTTCTTTTTCCTATGTACACGGAGATCTGTTTTTGCTTCAAAACCAAATCAGAGATTCGCACAAACTCTGCATTGTGCACCAGCTTTCTAATCAAACATATCCCATGATTGTTCCCTTTAGCAATTTTGAGGCTAAATACCGTATTCCTGCAGAAAATTTACTGCAGTTTCTGCCACTGTTGGTAAGTACTACTAATGAATCCTTTAAAACTGAGTTTAAAGCAAAAGAATCAAGATTTCTCTAAAGACACCACTGGAACTTGAAATACAACAAAAAGAATGTATACAAAAACGGCTGCACAGCTTGATTGAATGATTGCAATGAGTATGTTTATCTGAAGAATGGTTATGCACATGGTTGCCAGAGTTTGGCACATTCTGAAAATTTGGTGACTTCTGCCAAGGTGGTTGCTACACTACATGTTTCAGGTATTTTTGTAACTTTGTCATGTCACACAAATGTAAGTTTCCCTTAGAAAGACCTCCATAATGGCATCTTTTCACTTAGCTAACTTTAATGGACTTTGCAGTATTCAGTAAAATAAGTAAATAAAAACAGATTTAACAAAGTAATTAAAATAATACACAATAATTTAATTGCAAAGAAATATTGATAATTTGTTTTTCACTTTCAACTTCCATAAAAAATAAACTGTGTGGAAATTAGAAATACTAAAGTTAAAATGAGAACTAATATGAAATAAACTAAAAAAAGCATTAATTATAGTGAAAATACGATTTTCAAATCGAAAGATATTTTTGGAAAAAGTACAAAAAACTTATATTTTTGAGTAAATTTCAGAATGAATTTCCATGCATCAGAAACTAATACATAATTATAGTATTAATAATCAAGACTTTTAAATGCAAAAATATGTAAAAACAAAACTCGAACTTCATGTCTAACAACCTGAAAGAATTCCATAGTTTTGTCTTGCTAAACAAAATCAGTATTATAAATAATACTTGACGCATAGAAATACACTCATGTCCATAAATTAAGGATAATTCGGAGTCACGCAGAAATCGAACTCTAAAATAAATATATCACCTGTAAAATCACTACACACATCTTCAAGAATCATATGCAAATTTCAGGAAGTCCAGATGACACCGATGGTACGTCACAATGAGGAGAGTGTAAGAGAGAGATATATAAGGAATACATGCAAAGAAGTAAAATTGTTCGCAGGCGCTTTATAAGCATTTCAGTGCAATAACCGAATAGTTATGACACAAAGGACGCATTTGGATGATTTTTTACGTGGTAGAATTATCGGCCGTCTGGAATGCGGGCATACGTATCATAAGTACAGTCAAAAGTCGTTAATCCGGACTCGTCGGGACTTCGGCGATTCCGGATTATCGATTTTTCCGGATTATAGATTATCAGTTTAAATCAGGAAGATGGCATGCAAAAATTACAAAATTAAAAATATGAAACCGTAATTTATGAAATAAAGAACAATTATGATCTAAAGGGTATCAAAATTTACAAAAAGAAAAAGCTCAATATTTATTTGTTTTACTTTATTAAACATTTCCTTCAATGTAAGTTGCTTCGTTTCATGTGATAATACTTTCTCTTTAATTCTATTAAAACAGACATAATTTCTTGTTTAGTTACAAAGTTCCGCTGTTCAAGTCCTATAATTGCTGTGTTGAGAATACCGACTAATTTGTCAATCGAAATGTTTTCGTTTTCAATAACCTCTGGGTCACTTTCTTCACTATCGGAAGCGAATTATAATGACGAGGAACTTGATTTAAATCATATCAAAGACAGAATGAAATACTACACTTAGTATGGAATTATAAACCAAATAAAATAAAAACATCTGCCCTGAAGATAAGGATAGTGCTGACAAATCAACTTCCAATCCGCCGCGTGAAATTGATAAACAGATTTCGGATCTCAAAACATACTTTCGCTTTGTAGATACAAATTACATATTAGTAAATATATATCGGAAATTCTATTTGACATAATCTTTCTAATCTATCATAATCTAATAATGACGTTTCTGCCCCCCCCCTCTGCCGCAGAGCAGCGTGAAATTGATATAAACAGATAAACGATTCGGATTTCAAAACATACTTTCGCTTTGTAGTAAAATATATATCGGAAATTCTATTTGACATAATCGAAAGTTCAAGCTTACTTTTATAAAATTGCTCTAACAGTCTGCAAAAAATAATAAAGCCGGATCCAATTCGAAGATTAAGGAACAACGCAATCGGAACATTAACTGAATTAGATAACTTTAGCTTAGCGTGTAACTCCGTTACAATTTAAACGCGCATGCGCACAAACATATTCGCAGCCGTAAGGGTCTTACGCGCTCTCGTAAACGCCTGTGCGCATGCGTGAACGCGACGCATGCGCAGAAAGTTTGTAGCTTTGAGGTCCGGATTATAGATCATTCCGGATTATGGGTGTCCGAATTAACGACTTTTGACTGTATCAGACGAACTTGGAATTGCCCAGAGTGTCATCTCCAGGCTTTGGCAACGATTCCAAGATGATGGTAATGTGAGTAGACGTTACAGCACAGGTCGCCCCAGAGTTACAACGCCGAATGAGGACAGGTATTTGGCAGTTACTTCCAAAAGAAACAGACGGAGCACAGCCTCAGACCTGTCTCGTCAGCTCTCTTCAGCCACTGGTACGACAATTTCAAGGCAGACCGTGTACAGATGCTTAGGGCAGATTGGTCTGTATGCTCGCAGACCTGTCAGGTGCGTTCCACTTACTGCAACTCACTGTCGCCTGCGGTTAGCCTGGAGTAGAGAGCATGCATTGTGGACACCGCAACAATGGGCTTGTGTGATGTTTTCCGACGAGTTCAGGTTTAGCTTGCAGTCTGATTCTCGCCGGACTTTCATATGGAGAGCTCCAGGTACCCGTTACCACCAAGAAAACATCATTGAACGACACCGTTACGGTGGAATTATTCTGGGTTCCAGAACCGACCTGCATGTTCAAATTGGACCACGACAAGCCAAATCTATCGGGACGTCATTCTGGAACAACATATACGTTTGTTTCGGGGCGTCATGGGCGCACAATTTGTGTTTATGGATGACAACGCCCGTCCTCACCGTGCAAACATCGTAAGCGAATGCCTTCAATCGGAGGATATCACACGTATGGACTGGCCAGCATTCTCACCGGACTTGAATCCAGTAGAGCATGTGTGGGACATGCTTGGCCGATGAGTTGCAGCCCGTCAACCTCCTCCTATATGTCTACCGGAACTTCGGAGAGCATTGCGTTTTGAGTGATGTAATATCCCCCAAGATCAGATCGATAATTTGATACTCAGCATGCCTAGGCGTTGTACGGACTGTATTGCATCGTCTGGGAGATATACAATGTATTAACAATTATACCAACCATGTAATATTGGTTTTTTGTAATTTGCTCCAGGGAGAAAAAAATCGCTAATTTTTTTAATAATATCAAACATATAGCATCTTTTTTTGCTCTTTACCTTTTGTTTAATAAATAAGCTTTACAAATAAGTCTTGTTTTGCTTCTAACTCTTCCTTTGCCTGATTTTGCATTATCCTTAATTTATGGACATGAGTGTATATTCTTAAAAGGAAAATATACGTAAAATACAGTATGTTTTTAATAATATAATACTGAGTTCAACACACCTGAGGTGGATAACCTGGTTCTGTAGTATAAGCCATATAATAATAAAATACTACGTTTATGAGTAGCCAGTGCCCAATAATTAAAGCAAGAACTAAAACACAAATGTTCTGCTTCATGTAGAATGGAAGGCCAATTGCATACGCAATAGTAATAATGGATGATGAGAGCAGTATGACACCGGTGACACAAACCTATGGAAAGAGAAGTACATGTATTTTAATAAAATTTCATTGCATTGCAATTTAAAAGAGTTTTATTAAAATTTCAAGTAATTAAGTATTCCACTGATATAAAAATATTTAACTATTATGATTACTGAATTAAAAAAAAAAAAAAAAAAAAGGTAGGCAGCTATGACGTTGAGAAACATTTAGTCATTTTCAATCTGCATTTCCTTGAGCTTCTGAACTGAATTGAATTTAGTCCTTTTTCATAAAACATAAAAAGAAAATTTGGTAAGGACTGGAGAAAATAATAAATGAAAGATGCAATACGGTTAAATGGAAGCTGATGTGCAACAATGGGCATTAAAATAAGTTTTAAACCTAACATAGTTTCTGAAAGGACATTTTTCATGATGCCATCATTGCTATAATGTAAACCATACAGGTGAAGCTTTATTTTTTGAGGATGGGGCGAGAGAACTCACTTAGGATTATCTGATTTACATAATGCATGCTACTTAGCTGGGTTTATCTCAATTTGAACAAGGGTCTTAATCCCTCTTCTTTTAAATCAAATTCTTCAGAGGCTTTTCAGCTTATTAGATTTTAAGTTCTTTCATGTTGCAAAGATACTGCAATTACAAATGTCCCTGCCTTACCCATGATTTCAGATGAGTGAACCCAGTGTCATGGAAATCAATCATGTTGCAATGATCACAATTGTGTCCAAAGTGGCGAAAGCTTTTTAGAAATAGATTCAGTGAATATGGGCGGGGGGGGGGAAAGGCAGGAATACGCTGAAATTTGCATTGCCAAACAGCAGTCTAAGAAATTTGAGCTTTGAATACAGGTGTAGCCATGCAAAAGCAATGCTTTACTGTTGAATGTGCCCCAATGTTTTCCTTTAATAGCATGTTGAACTTAGGCCAACAAGCTGTCAAAATTAATATCTGGTACAGTAACTTTACATAGCAAACAATCACTGAATATTGGTCTCATTTTATTAAGGATGGGGCGAGAGAACTCACTTAGGATTATCTGATTTACATAATGCATGCTACTTAGCTGGGTTTATCTCAATTCAGTGAATATGGGGGGGGGAAGACAATAATAGGCTGAAATTTGCATTGCCAAACAGCAGTCTAAGAAATCTGAGCTTTGAATACAGGTGTAGCATGCAAAAGCAATGCTTTACTGTTGAATGTGCCCCAATGTTTTCCTTTTATAGCATGTTGAACTTAGGCCAACAAGCTGTCAAAATTAATATCTTGTACAGTAACTTTACATAGAAAACAATCAATGAATATTGGTCTCATTTTATTCTCTAAATTTGCGGTTAAACTTTTCCCAGCAGAGATTCCATTTCAAATGTGTGGGTTGGAGAGATGTACACTGCTTCCACACTATGTTTTATTTAATTCATTTGTTTTCTTTCTGGGTCCCAGTATTGAAACACACAACTTAATTGATGCTACTTCATGAATTCACAAACTATTCTGATAAAATACTTTTTATTTTTGTAATAGCGACAAACAGAAAGTATTTTCATCAGCACTTATGAAACAGCCATTCTTGACAACAATGAGCTTGGTTTTCTTCATTTTGGGCATCACTACTTGAAATACTCAACAAGAACGTACACTGCACAAAGAAAAAGGGGGGCAGTTCTATATCTCTCTTTCTACTGGGCCGATTGACAAAGTTCAAACTGCGTTTTTCATGTCTCGAAAGCGCGACTTGGGATATATATTAGATTTATATATAACATTGTTCTAACATAGGTATTGTGACACAAAATCAGACTTTTTCTGAAATAACATATCAATTTTTTTCCATATTTCCATTCTACGACTCAAATTATGCCTAGATATAAAATTTTGTAAATTTTGCAGCGAAATTTACGGAGAAATTAAAAAATTCATCTTCGCGAAATTTTTTCAGTTTCAAGAATAATTCACTTGGCTACTTCTTATTATATGGCAACCAATTTTCCTTTCCCTTCCATTATGCTGGAGTGGAAAAAAACAGGTACCTCCTTACTACCTTTTACATTGTGCATGAGCAGGAAAAAAGTCACATCGTTTCTACTTTCAAATAACTTTAGCAAAGTATTTAAACCTCATCTGATGTTTTATCGCTTTCAACAAACAAGCCAAATTTCAAAACGCGCCAATAAAAAATTCAGGTATATCTTCGGAAATTTTAAATAAAAAATTGTAAGTTTTTGCAGGTACGCTTAGAAATATGTCTGCTTTAAGATGATGGTAAAAATTTTATAGATTATAATTAAAAATATTTTTAGAAAAAATTTATGAAAATTATTTAAAAATACAAATTTTAAAAATAAATCATAAAAAAATGGGTGAATTTTATTTGGAATGAAACTGAATTTCGAAACGTGAAAGGAAGAATCCAATAAGCTTAATAAAAAAGAGAGATTAATAATTATATATCAAACTCAATTAACACTGAGAAGCTAAAATTTTGAAAGCTAACGTTTTAAAAACTACTCGGGCGATTTTTACGAAACTTGGTAGTTTGGCGTAATTTGAGTCATAGAATCGGAATATGGGAAAAAAAAAAAGGTATGTTATTTCAGAAGTCCGATTCTGTGTCAAAATACCTATATTAGAACAATGCTATATATAAATCTAATACATATACTAAATCGCGGTTTCGAGACATGTTTTTCATGTCTCGACAAGTTGAATTTCGTCAATCGGCCCAGTAGAAATGGAAATATAGAACTATATCCCCCTTTTTCTTTCCGCAGTGTACCTTCAATACACAACTTTTGTAGGCTCTTTTCCACTGATTCAATACTGATGCTCATTTCCCTTACAATCGCAAAAGGCGCCACATTTCAAATTTTCATGATATATTCTTTGACTTTTTTACACATTTCTTCGATAATTATGTCTAAACTGCAGCCTTACAGAGTCACTTTTGAATGAAGTTGTACCCTGCCTAAACATGGTAGCCCATGCTTTTGATAGTGACATAGGAAGATGCAGTATCATTTCAGATTATAACCATGTATTCATGAATATTTGCAAGCAATATGCCTTTTTTTTGCGAAGAATGTAATCACCAAACAATATTTGATGTTTTTGATATTCAAAAATGTTACTGACTGATAGCCTTCTGCAGCCTCACAAAAATCAAATGATAATTATCAACTTTTGTACACTCATTTTTATCATCTAGAAGAATGATAAAAATGTTTTTGCTGAATTTTGTCATTTTTCAAGCATTAGAATTTACTGAATATTATTTGTTATTACATAAGGCAAAGAATATGAGGGCTATCTGCCTAAGAGATATCTTTATGGATAATATTTTAAGGGAAACTGGCTTGTATTTACATGACACATGGAAAAAGCCATGAAAACTAACCATGCAGCTAGCCCATTTGCCTGGGCTTGAACCAATATTCAGCTACTTGTCTACATATGGGGCAATTTATTGATTACTCTCTGTACTGACAACCTACTAAATCAAATTACAAATGTTCAATTTTCACTACTGAAAGCCTATTCTGGCATTTATATTTTTATAACTTATAGTTCAAAGTAAAAGCAAATATTCCATCAATTCTGACATGACATTAATTGAAATTCTTAAATTCTAAACCACAGATTTTTATTACTATACAAAAAGTGATGATTATCCTTCAAAGCTGCATGTTCTTTTTTCATAAAAATAAGTTTTTAATTGAAGTAATCTTCACATCAAGAAAGCTTCATCAAAAATAACTGCAGCAGAATAATGAATCTCTCTGCAGAGACAAGCTATTTAAATACGTCTACAGATTCAAAAACATCTAGTGATATATATGGGTGAAATGAATGCTTCATACATGAACAGCAGGCTTATCCAAAACATTATGCACCCTTAATAATTAAACTTGTATTGCCAAGTTATCAACAATTTAACTTGAAAAAATACTATTAACTGTATGAAAACTTTGAATTCTCAATTTCTAATGTAAAAAGAATATCTTTGGGAAGCCACTCTTTAAATCCTCTGCTTGTAAACCTGATAATTTGCAACTGATCATTAATTCTAATCTCTGTACGTTGCATCAGCAGCTGTACATGGCACTACTAGTAAAATTTACATTCCACTAAAGACATTTTGTTTGTCCACCTTGATTTCATTCTAATTTTTATTAACTCAGAGGATGTAGCACATAGAAAATTGATTTTGCTTAAAATTATTCACATTTCTGTATACTTTAAATTAGTGAGAAATTAGTATAATTTAACAGACTTCTGAAACATAATAACGACTTACAAAATTTATAAGTTTATGCCTTTCTTTTAGTACTTACATTTAACAGATTCTGTTTATTATTGTCAATTTTTTTTTACATAAACTTCCATAGATTGTAATTCCTTTTAAATGCAAGGCAGTTGAGAGCTTAAGGTATATACATGAAGGGCTGAATTACAATGGATAGTTGCCCCATCAGTTTCTGGTGGTTAAGGCTGCTGAATATTGTAGTTTGACCTGGCTTGGATTCGATCCCAGGTTAATGGCCTGGCTGCATAGTTAGTTTTTGTTGTTTCCCCCATTATAACATGAATACAAACCAGTTTCCTCAGAATGCCCTTCACAAAGGTATCCCTCCTCTTAGGCAGATAGCCCTCATGACTTTGTCATATTTGAATACCCTAACCTAGTCGAGTTCTGACACAAAACCTAGGCATATTGCTTATGCTTAACAGAAGATAAATTTCATTTTAACAATTTTTATATCCCACATATGTAAAAAATAAAGATTAAAACTGACTGCAAACTAGCAATTTAAATCCACGTGTATAGATAAAATACTCTATAAAAACATGTATGCATATTTAATATCTTAGAACAATGCCATAATTTAAAAGAAATACAACACATATGAGTGAAGAATACACCTTTATTAAGTACGTAATGAAAGCCATATATATATATGTGTGTGTATGTACAGTTAAAAAAAAATAGGTAAAATTTTGACTTAAATTGGCAATAGCCCCTCAATT